TCGGGGATAAGCGCTGATAAGCGTCTAGCTGCTAGTGAATGATAATGTAAAGGGCAAGATGGCACTAGCGCTGTCCAGGATACGCCAGCGCTAGTGGATAGCACGCCACCGGTTACCGATTTCGTGGAGAAACTGTCAATCTAGCTAGCATGAGGAATGAAATATCATATATTTGGAATCGCATATAACATCTAAGGAATGAGATCAGACCAATTATTGGGTCCCTGAATAAGAGCGCTAAGAGTTTGGAAAGAACAACTGCTGAATGAGCGCTGAGCGCCTTAGATCCAGAACTGTAATCTGATCTCATGGGGAACTCATTGAGCAGCTGTTAAGAGGAGTGATGATCGGAATGCTGATCAGGGGATGAACGCTAATGCGTAGAGATCCAGCTTGGGAACTCAAGGGATTTCTGGGCTGAGTCTACCTACTTGGTGGATAGCTAGGGTACCGATTGTACCTGCTTGGATATGGTGTCGGTGGGGTTGGTGGTCATGGCCCATGCCGGCTCACCATGGTTAGCGAGTGTCTTCGTCTTGTCCCGGCCGAAAACTTAGAATCCTAAACCCTTCGTTAACCACGGGAATGTGTTCTTGTTGTGCCACAATAGGTACGCTAATGGCTAGAGGTCTGGTTTCAGCGTCTCTAATTGTGGTTGTGATCAAGTCAGCCTTGTTTGCGCTTATGATTTAGGCTGCGGTTTGGTTTCCGTAAGCTGCCCTTTGGGCTCGTACATCTAAGTAAGAAGTCAGTTGAAATGGAAATGAAGGCATTGTTTCGCTTCTTTAAGCTTTGTCTGCTTCGATTTCAGGAGCTCTGGGAACGTACCTACTGCCTCCCAAGGCGTCGGTTTACCAGCCGATTGGCCTGGGCTTCATAACTTCGTCCTCCGCGAGGCCCCTGAATACGTCTAGACTTCTTCCTATAAGCGTGACGCAAGCCTCCGCCATTGGTCCTTCTACAGCGAGTTTCTGCATAAGTTCGTTAGATGGTTCCCTTTGCTTGGCGCTTACTGAAGAAAAACAGGAAGCTTCTCATATTTCTTCTGTCACCAGAGCTACTGTTCCGGGAGTAGTACGCTGAGTTCGTTGTCAACGCTAACCTGTAGCAGCTTGCGTAAATGCCATACCTCTGATGAGGGCTGTGAATGTGCCCTACCTTCTGGCGACGCTGATTCAAGCTAAACCAGCTGGTCTTATACGCTCAGGAAGTTCCTGTGCTGGGAGAATGGTTATCAGCGTGATTAGCGTGGTTAAGGTGCTTGATAGCGTGAGGTATGTTGTTAATATGGGTAGACGTAGTGAGCGACTATTCGCAGTAAGAAACAATGAAAGATAAAGAAAAGGAAATAAGTAAATCGCGATTTGAGGGAGTTCATGACACAAGCGCACTGACCGAAATGAGGTCCATCGGGAGATCCGGAGCATGGTAACAATCCTTGAGTACCAAAGTGAAGAAATGCGCGTCCGGTGAGCGAGTAGGTACACGAACACAGACTTCACCACAGGCCAAGGTGCGTAGGGAGCTAGAGTTGGCAGTGCGAACCGATACAGAACGTGAAGTGTCATAGGAGAAGAAAAC